ATTTCGGCACACATGTATAGTCGTAGGGGTAGTATTATCGTTAGTGGACATTTTACGTTTCTAAATAAAAAAAAATATATATTGTAAGTAAAAATTTGTTTTCATAGAATGAATTAAATGGTACATTAAAAATAAATTACGGACAGGCAAAGAAAATAAGTACGAACAAAAAAATATTATTATTATTATCCACTTTACAAGATAAAAAATCACTTACTTTTATACCTTACATCCATTAGACCTTAGAACTTGTCAGAAAAAAAATAACTTATTAGTAAGTAACTTATGTATAAATAACGGTATAAAGCAACTCCATTTGGACTAATATTGATATATTTTGTAGTTTTTTAGGTGAAATTAACCCCCTTAGATTTGGCGATTGTTTAAGGTGGGTTTAGATCTTTAGACCTTAACGATCTCGGAAGATGGCGGAGATCCCAACGTATGAATTTTGATAAAATTATTGATTAAAAACATTATTCATATTACCCTTATGGCCTTTTGAAATTCCATTCACGCTTTTTCTTATCGCGGAATCATATTTATAATAACCAAGAAAAGGTTCTAGAGTTATTCGTTTGGTTTAGCGATCGTTTATCATGTGAATCAAAGAATATTTCTACCAATGCTTTAGACAGTTAACCATTTTGGTTAGCCTAACCATTACAAGATTTAACTGTCTTACGTATGGTGAAAAATAAATTCACTAACCTATAATTCTATACTATATTATTGTACTGTACATTTTTCCATTATGCTGCTTCAAATCTAATTTTTTTTTTTTTGCAACAATTATTAGTATAATTACTTTTACGATTGCATATACTTTTGTAATACTACCAGTACTTTGATTCTGTGCAGCTTCTTTAACAAATATATAATCTGTTGAAATATGCTCTAATAATTCTGAACGTTCTATTATTTCTAATGGCTCCAATTCACTTGTACAATATGTTTGATTATAGTTCAACTTATCTAAAATCTTGCGTGGGCATATAGGTAAATTTGTACCAAGTCGTTGATTTCGTATTCTGAGTTGTGCTAGCTGTATATGTCGCTACAATTCTTCGTAATACTTGGCATCCTGTAATTTTATGATCATTATTCTTGCGATAGTTGTGAGGTATATAAAAAATGTGAAGAATTAATCTAAATAATTATAAAGAATTAAATATATACGTATAACAATAACTACCAAATTTTTGCGTAATATTCCATAATGTTTAAAGCTGTTTTCAAAAAGGTGTGGATGATCGCGGGTCACCATATCATGGGAAATTCTTGATATTTCCCAAATTTTTCTCTTTTTTTTATTCTCGCTTCTAACAGAGAAAGTTTCTCACCAACTTTCTAATAAAAATAGTTTTTAGAGTCCAATAAAATAATACAATTCTAAGTTAAATGTAAATTTTAACAGATGAATTAAGAAATTTTTAAAAAATTCCTAAAAACGGTAGCTATCTTGAGTCTTGTAGTATTTATATATATCATGTGATTTTGCTTTACAAATCAACTAGTGATCAATTTAGTGCTTTAATGCGTCTCTTAACCTAAAACTTTTAAAATGCTTTTAGTATATAGTGAAGACTTAAAATGGCATATAGTATTTCTTTGGCATAGTGGTTATTCTAAAAGACAAATTGCAGAAATTCTTTATGTTAATAGAAGCTTAATATATAAAGTATTATTTTTGTATAAAAATGAGGAACAGTAGTTAATTCTTGAAGACAAATACCAAGAAGACATAAAACGTTTGACTGAAATGGTATGAATGTAAATATATACTTTATTCCAAATATATATTTTATTATTTTTTAACATTTTTAAATTTTATAATCAGATTTTACAAACTATTATTCAAGAAAATACTAATTTGTATCTTGATGAAATAGTTTAGAAGATAGAAATTCAAAGTGACAAATATGTTTTTATTTCTACTTTATGGAAATCATTAACATATTGTAGAATAATACATAAAAAAGTTTTTGTTTATAATTTTATATTTATTTGTTAATTTATAATGCATATTTATTAAATTTTTATGGTAGTTAAGTAAAATTATAAGAGAACATAGTGAATTGCTTCATAATACTTTTATAACACATATTGGAACTCAATATCAAATGAACAGCTAATTTTTTTAGATGAGTTAGCTAAAAATGAATGAACAATTACTTGCAGTTATGATTATTCTAAAATAACTACAAGAGTTGTAAAAAAGATAGTATTTATTCATGATAAACATTACACAATTTTATTAGCTCTTACTTTAGATGATATTATTGCTGTAGACATAATGAAGGGTAGTTGTATAAAAGAAAAATTTTAAAATTTTGCTATTTTACAAGTGGTATATATATATTTAATAATTGGTAATTTATATAAATTATCTTAACAATAATTCAATTATTTTTATTTATATAACTTTCTCAAATAAATTCATATCTGCATGTAAGAAGTGTTTTAGTTCTTGATAATACAAGAATTTATCATCATAATAGATTGTTTGAATACTTAAATGCATTTGGTGTATGTATAAAATTTCTTCTACCATACTTGCCAGAACTTAATCTAATTGAGATAATCTTTTTATTTATTAAAAACTATTTAAAACATTATTATTATTTTATAAAAAGTTGTTCTAATTCTATTTGTCCTTTATTAATTGCTTACTCACAAATTATACCCTTGTTAATAGTTTTTTTAATAAATCAGATTACAAATAAAAAATTAAATTATATATATATATATATATATTTTATTATATAATATGACTACACCAGGATGCAGGATCGATTTTACTGTCATATGATTTTTGAGATAATGATCTATATCATATATTCATTTTGTATTACATCATATAATCCTTTTGTACTATATAAAAAAATTACATTTAAAAGCAATGCATTTATTTTTCCTTAGCCTAAATATGATAAATATGTAATAACTTGATGACCCAAATCCAGGTTTTATTTGGTGTTACTCATATATCATAATTCTACATTTTTAGTAATTTATTGATTATAGCAGATTAAAGTGAAATATGATTAAAGTGAAACACAATTAAAGTGAAACATGATTAAAGTGAAATATGATTAAAATGAAATAAAAACTCTTATTTTATTTTAATTATGATCTGCAACATTAATTACATAATTTTTTTTTTTATATGAATGTTAAACCACTTAGCTCAATATAAATTTAGCATATGGCTTTAATCTTTATATATTCAATTTAGAGTTAATAAATTCAAAACCATTTATTTGTTATTTGTTAAATGAAGCAAACAAATAGTATTAGCAAAGAGTTAGAAATTGATTATAACACATCAATTCTAATCATAAACCTATCACTATTAATATTGTTAATTGGTAAGACTTATTTTAATTGGCTCAATAATTGAATCATTTATTATTTTTATTTTTTAAATTAGAATAACTGATTCAAATCAATTTAACAATTAAATCATAAAATTAGATTTATAGATGACAAAAAATGAATAAATAGAATTTCATGATTGAATAAATAAATTATCTAATTAATATGCATTGACTGTCTTAGAAGTTCAGACCAATTAATAAGTTGTTGCTTTATGGTATTTGAATCATTTGTATATTTCATGTATGTTTGACCATATATTGTTCAGAATGGAGTTGCAATTGAACATAAACTTAAGCTTTACTAAGTTTTTCTTTGGTTGTTTTATCTGCAATTCTAAAATTTTAGTTTAGAATTAAAATACCTAAAATGCCACCTTAACATTTAGTTTACTATTTAAAAAAAAAGAAGCTTTTAAAAGCATCAGTATTTTTTTAACAAAAATTTATAATTAATCAAATTACTTTGCTGATTATTATAGTTTTCAAAACATCACTTATTACTCTGGTTAACCTACAAATTACTTCATATTTATCACTTATTCTATTATCAGTGATTAATACAAAATTATTATTTTAGTATTCAACATACATAAATCAATTGAATTAACTTGACCATCCTATCTGCCAATAATAAATATACCTATAACTTCAATTTTCGATACCTTCTTGCAGCATTTGTTCACATAATCCTTCTCCTAAAGAATTCATATATAAAGGCAAAAGTTATAAGACTTGTAATAGCTGTAAAGCTGTAAGAATTCCTAAAAAAAATGAACCAGTTAAGATAATTTCTCTACATGAAATTAGTAACTATATCACAAATGCAATCGATAACTTAGAAAATCAAGCTGAACTTTCTTTTATTTTTCATATTTGACTTGATGATGTCATATTTAGTGAAGTTGGTACAGATATTAAACTTATAGCTAAATTAATTATTGATAAAATAGAGGAAGGAGATGGCTATAATTGGACATAAATAATAAGATACAGATTTACCATACTACATTGGTTAAAAAATCATATAAAATACCTAGCATTTATGTAACAAATATTTTTTTTCACCTAGTATAATGCATAAATACAATATACTCAAAATATTTCTAGATATTTTATAAGACTTTGGTCTTTTAATCAGTGCATTACAGTAGATATAAATATGTTACCTTATTTAACTATATGCTAATAAATAATTTATCTACAATATAGTACTACAACTGCATCAAATCTTTTAGCTTATCATCATAGTGTTGGGAACACTTATTTTCATATTCTCAAAGTAATGAACTTGAACGAGAATTTAAAGACTTAAGTTATAAGAAAATTCTTTGTTATAACTGTAGTGGCAAAATATCGATTAAAATTGATATTCTAGTAACAGAAGTCAAAGTGATCCTAAAACATGATCTTCAATATGATAAACCTATTGAGGTTACAACATCACATAAAATAAAAAAAGAGATTAGTAAAAATCTTTATTTGAATTCTATAGAATTGTGACAACATCTTCATAAAAAGTTTGACATATCAACTATTACACTCAAACAAATCCATTATTGGTGGTCGTTTTATATACAACAATTCTACAAAAATAATAACAATCATATTATTTTAGCACATATGTTTTTTGACTGGCAACTTAAAAATTACTATGCTTTATGCTTTCAACTTGAAACAGATAATACGACTGCTATTGGTTTTACAACAAGTTTACTTGAACAATCCTATTATGAAGAGGTGCACTGTAATGCTATTTATAAAACTTTCAAGGAACAGTTCGAACTTTATGGTCTCATTAGTGATGTTGAAGGTGCAGAGTTTTTCCTTTTTTTTTTTACTTTTTTCTTTATATAATAAATCTTTTTTTATTAAAGGCACTGGTTTTTTACTAGCATATTTAATATTAGATACTACTAAATCTTTCAAAAATGAACAACAGCAAGGATTAAGAACTGAAGCACTTACTAGCTTCTTTCAATCTCTTTGTAATAAAGGTTTAAACCTGATTTACTTTTATACTAATAAAGATTTTGCTGAAATAACTGCTGCAAAAAATGTATAGTCTACAACTGATATGCAGCTTTGCTTATGGCATATCAAGAAAGCCATTAAAGAAAAGCTTAAAAGTCATAAAAAGATTAAACATATAAACTATAACTATGAAGAAGTTGTAAAAGAATTTAGTTTTGTCAATCCACTTTTTATACCTGATTTGCAATGAATGTATAATGAATATTATAGTGTTTGTCTACCTGACCTTCATGAAACTGTTGTTTTTGAAATAGTTAAAAACTATTTTAACATGCATTCTAAAATCTCTGTTAATATTAATGGACAATTTTTGTCTTCTAATGAAATAAGGATTAAAGCTGTTTTTAAAATATATAAGTTTTGTACCACAAATAATCTTTCAATACTATGAACCTATTTATGGTCTTCTTGATATAAGCTAACATGATGGTGCCTTTGGGCATGTTTTACTCGAATGACAATACTACTAGGTAAAACTAGTAATATGATAGAAGCATACTAGAGAGTTCTAAAGCATTGTTACCTTTCTCAGCTTAACTGTCCATGACTTGACTATTTAATATGGATCATCTGCACATGTGTTATACCTGACCAGATTAACTGACTTTAGCAACTGTTAACTAGCAGAATAATACCTTTCTGATTTGAGAAATTTAAAAAACAATGAAAAAATCTTTTTGCCAAACTATTTAATAATGCTGAAGACCAATATCTTATTAATCTTAAATGCTAGATTTGCAGCTATCCATTATTCCTTCACAGCTGTTTTCTTATATATAAACATTTAATCTATAAAGTGTCAGAATAATCTCAGAATATTAGATTAATATATTCAAATTTTAAACACCAATCTGATTATTCTTTTTTAATATAGGATAAAAGCAAATTACAAGTACCTGAAAATATAAAAGTGTTTAGAACACATAGTCAGGTTAATATTTTTAATCAACATGATACAAATGAAAATTATGAGAATATTATTGAAAAGCATCAAATACTTGAATCTAAAATATTAGCATTGCAATGTTTAGTTGATCATCTTAATAAGAAACGAATTGCAAATAATTTACAACATGTAGAGGCTGTTGTTAACAATTTAAATTGTGCTTTTACTATATTCTCAAACATTGAAAAAGCAAAAAATCAGAGAACATAATCTACCACCTGATGTGAATCAAAACTCTGGACCATATTTTTAAATAATAATGATACCTAATATATAAAAAAAAAATATATACAATTGTGCTTTAATTATTTATCAATTAAAAAATAAAAAGATAAATAAATAAAATTGTCACTATATCTTATATACTATTAAAGATTTTATTTCGAGTTGACCATCTAATCTATATTAAATAAAATTTAAGTATTTATTAAAAAGAACTTCATGTAAAGTAACCAACTAGATTTAATATACTCCTATTAAAAAATAATTAGCCAAATCTGTATAAGTATCAAGAAGAAGGCTTGAAGCCTTTGTGAGTTTATTAATAGTTTACCAATTGGTGGCAGAAGAACAGCTTTACTTATTTGTGCTGGTAATACAAACTCTTAAAAAGAAAATAGCCAATTAGTAAATTCAAATTTTGATCGTTTCAGATCAGTCTGACATGAATTCTGAACATGTATAAAAGAAGTAAAAGTGAAAAAACTCAAAAATTAGTGTTTAAACCAGTCTTAGTATACTAATTAAAAATGTTGAAAATGAAATTTTATATATAATGAATGATAGTTTATCACTATAGCCTCTAATGTTAATATTTCAAACCTAAATTTATATTTTATGCACTTTGTTTATTTATAAAATCAAATTTCCTTTTTTGAATTATATTACTGGCACAAGTAAGTAAATCCATGGGGGAACTAATGTTCAACTAAAATAACTTTTCTGAGTATTATTTGTCTTGAGGATTTTTTTTTTGTATATAAGAACTGTAATTAGTAATTTGTAATACCTAATATGTAAGATAAACAGATATAGTACAATGTAAAAATCATTATCACAGAAGTTATGTGACAGTAAAATCGATCCTGCACCCTGGCATCATCTGAATAAGACTAAATTCTGTATATAGTTAAGATAAATTCTGTGAATTAATGTGATGAAATTTTTTTTTTTGAAAAATTCTGTGAAATTCTCATGAATTCTGTGCAATTCTGTGACAGGAATAATGAATTCTGTAATTTAATGTGATGCAATCCTGTGAATTTTGTATAGATGCAGATTTATAACATCTCTCAGTTACATCCTATATAACAAATCAGTTTATAAAATAAGATGCAATTAACCTGTAACTAATGATGTAAATAAGTCTGCACTTATAGAATTTTGTGATTTTGTGTAATATATTTATTATACTAATTTTAGTTATATATATTAAAAAATATAATTTGTTATACAATAAGCAAAAAAAAAATGAAAAAAATTAAGGTTGTCTATTATATATTTTCTATTTTGTGTTTATATATATGCTTTTAACAATAAAAATAAACAAAAAAAAATTTAGTATTAATACTTATTTTTTTTAATTATGAATATGTAATTTTTATAAAATTAAAATTGATTTAAAAAAATTACTCCTTATTAAAATACAACATTTTTAATTGCTTTAAAGAATCTAGTAAAAATTTTTGATAATTATTACTTGGAAGATTATTATACATCAAAAAACTACATTTAACATTACAACTAGAAGCTAAAGTCATATATAATTAAATACAATTTTTGATAACTTCAGCAAAGTTGATTGCATTTCAATCTAATAATCAAAAAGATTATCTTAAATTATTTACTTATGTAAAATTTTATTTGGTAGATTTTTTAATTTAATAATTGTTAAATATTACTAAATATCTTTATGAAAACTATTATTTATTTGATTTTTTATTTTAATATATTGTTACAAAGTAGATTTTTAGTATAGAATATTATATAATATTATTAATAGTTATATATATTCATTATTGTATTTTATATATAGTATATTTATTATTAGTTATTAGTTAACCAATAGTTATATTATATAGTAGATAGAAAAAAAGATCTTAATTGGTTATTAAAAATATGGTATAGTTACATGATGCTAAGTAATATTTGTAATGTTACTATTATCTTATAAACTTATAGTACTCTTATACAAATTTCATGTATCTTAGCATCAAATTACTGTTAAGTACTGCAATACAAAAATTCCAAGTATTCCTAACATAAACTTTAAATGTTTCTGCACAAATTTCAAGTATTTTTACACAAATCTCAAGTGTTTTTGCATAAATCCAAGTATCTTAACACAAATCCCAAATGTTTTAATTATAAATAACAAATAATATAAATAATATTTCTAATTATCTCTATACAATTTTTACTATTTTAAGCACAATATCATTTAATGTTGTTTAAACTACTACTACTCTAAGTATAATGATATTTAATATTATTCAAACTTTTATTACTTTGAATACAGTATCAAGTAATATTACTTAAATTTTCACTATTTTTGTTAGACAAAAAGATATATAAAAAGCATTTTTTTCTCTTCTCTACTAATTTTAAGTTCTTATATTTCAACTTAAACTTTTTTATCTTTACTTTTAAACTTATAAAAATGATATTTCTTCTTTAGTATAATTCTTACAGACAAGATTGTTACTATGTATTTGTTTAATAAAGTTAATTTATATATTATTACTATTTCAAACTATTTGCTTACTGCTATGTAGTAAAGTGAACTATTATATCTCTACTCCATATATTATATATTTGCAATAGTCAATTACTATACTATGTAATCTTGTTACTTAGTTGAATTGTATCAAGAAGGCTGCAGCCTTGTAACAATATAAAACTATGAAATATGTGTTATATATTTTTATATATAATAACAAATACTGATTAAAAAATATTATAAAAATTTTCAGACTTAAAATAAAATTATATAATAAGATTATCCAAATCAGTTTCAAAATTTTGTATAATAATATTTCTTTTTATAAATAATAAAAATTATTCAAGATATCTTTTAATAAATAAAAAAATTAACTTATTTTGTTACTAAAAAAAATCTAAAATATAAATAAATTTTTATATATAAATTAGAGATGTGTCTGTTATATGACAAATATTGTAAAAATTTTGTAATCATATAACTTTACACGAAATATACAATAATTTTAACAATTATATAAACTCAATTAGAATATACAATAATTTCAACAAGTTAAAAATTTGAGTTTAGTATTTAGTAATAACTTTATTTATCTTTTTTTTAATTAATTAAAAAATTGTTTTTAATAAAATTTTAAGTAAAGTATTTAAAAGTTATTCATGAATATTTATTGTTTAATAATTTTATTTTAGTAACAATAATAAAAAAAAAACTATAATTATTATAGTAACTAGTAGTATATAAAATAATTTTTTATAGGGGTGTGGTGACCTAGTGAAGTGGTCAGGTTGTCAACCCCCCAAGTGGTAGGTTGGGTGTTTAAATCCTATCAACGGCGAAAATTTAGATAATCACCTATGTAATATTCATATTATGGCAACTGTTACTAACAGTTAGGTTAGGATATCTGTAATGGCAGTCACACCAGCATGACTGGCAGGTCATGGGGCATCTGTG